AACTCGTGATAAATCCATTCCAGGCCTCACTTGTTTTATCAACATCCATACTATACTTTTATTCTCATCAGCTATTGTGTCAGTTTGGTTGAACTCCTGGATTATGAAAGATATAAAACAAAAGAATAGTCATGTGCACATGTGTGAAGTATGCCCTCAAACAGACCACCTTTAAAATGACTGTTACAAGCATACACAGATCTACTAGTTGTATGAAGCAACATGTACTACTGCTAACTGTTAAATGTCACTCAAACAGCCACATAAATGTACAAGTTGTTTGGCTCTGTGGTCTTTATCATCATGATGATATCATGTGAATAGTCACTAACCTGGCCAAGTTCTTCTTTGTTTTCTGAGACATATGTAGTCTCCACATGAGCTATGTCCTGCAATTCCTCAACCTCATCATCTTCTTCTGAGGCGTCTGTTTCACTCTCTTTATCCTTGTCACCATCTTTGTCTCCTTCATCTTGGTCTGGTTCATCAAGTCCTGAATTAAATAAAAAATTAACTTAATTATTTGCTAAATGCATTATATAAATACTCAGTAAATTTCCAGGCAGTTAATCTCCTATCATTAGTGCCCTCTCTGGCATTATACATTAAGGGCACACTGTAGATACCATGTACAAGCTTTAGTAGATGATATTAAATAGTTAAGCTTGGGGGGGGGGGGGTTGTTAGTTATTTTCTTACTGAATTAAAAAGACAATGGGCATCAAAAAACAGATTAGTTGTTTAAAAAAACAACAACAATGTGATTCCATGGTGCATTCCTGGGGAGTTGGGAAGCGCCAGTGTAACTGGGTATTTCCCATAATTCCATAGTGCATAATCTATACAGCAAGAGGATTAAACCTTTTGAAAGACATAGAGAACTCTTGTCATCTTTCACAAAATAAACTGACCTCATCCCCCCCCCCCAATTGTTTCAACAATATTCGATCACGATCTGTCAATGGGGGGGGGGGTTTATGTTCATTTGGTTCAAAATAAAAAAATGCACTAGTGATACAATTCATAAACAAGTCGTGCTTGTTTTACCATTAAACTAGACAATATGTTATGGACTATATAAAGACTCTTACCAACATCCTTAAAATGTTTGTTCTCAATTTCACTTTCGTTCATTTCCCTGGCAGTGTGTAGAAATGTCTGAAGTTGTTGAGTGAGATCGCTACCAGTTTCTCCCGTAGTCCCACTCATATCATGCTCCTTCATAGACCTCATCAGTAGACTGGAGCACCGAAGAGAGAGCTCCAAGGCATCCATCCAGCATTTCCCATCAGCTTCTGATAGTGCTCGGAATATAAGGTAATTGCTTGGCAGTGGTATTGTAATGGAACCCATTGATTCACCCTTTGGGCCCTTTAAACAAGTCAAAAATATTTCAGAATTAGTTAAACAGTACTATATTTATAAAGATAACAGCACATTTCTATCAGAAGCTCAAATAAACTGACAACTGCATTTATTGTATGATGGATCACTAAACTGTGACTTATTTTGAACATTTACACATCTCTGTCATTTATAGAAAGTGCATGTGTTAATAGAGCAAATACGATATAAAATACTGGTATAAACACTAAACGCTAGGTAGTCCCTATAACCAGGACTAGTTGCAATTCGGACAACTAAATCGTAACTCACCTGTCTTAACAGACTCTAGTAAGTATAAAGGAAATGTACACTTCTGACAAGTGAGTTTAAAAGCCTTGTATATCGTAATTGTTCAATTAGAAGTTTATCTCCCATAGAAGTGCATATAGACTAACTGCATCATTAAAATATGACTTTTTTTGACACACCTCATTCTAATGAGCCAATAAGGTTTCGTGTATAGTTTTGGGGTTTTGTAGCATCTTTGTGAAGCAAATTGACGAGTGAAATTTGAGATACACATCTGAGATACAGGTGGGGGGTTGGGGGAGCTGATGGATGCACAAAGGTCAATCCAAGTTGGACTATGTCCAAACAGAGTCTAAATTTAGTGTTGAGTTTACACCAACAACATCATCTTTAACCTTTTCAACATAAGATCCCTCTTTTCATTACAAATTCACAAAATACTTATAGTCTGGACTTTCCTTCAGAAAATTGGGACCAAAATAGCAAAGATTTTTGACTCACATTTTGTCTGTTGTCTCCAAAAATAGCATTCATTTCCAGAAATATTGAAGAATATAAGAAAAAAGTGCTGAATTAAGTTGAGCGAGATAAGTCTGGTGGTTAAATGATCATTTGGAAAGTCTCTATCTCCCTGACTGAAGAAACACAGGAAAAATTTCCACTGCTATAAAATTTCACATTTATTAGCTCGTATCTGAAAATATTTCCACTTCCACGACTAACTTTTTATATACTATTTGAATTCATACAGATATGGAAGTGTAATTGATATATATACTTGTACTCACTCTAGTTGCCCATATGGATTGATCCAAAGGATGAAATAATTTAAAACAAAATCCATCTTTCCTGGATGGTCTTTCTAATACATCACACGTATTCAGCAGAACTGTTCCAACCCACTGACCATGCTGCAAGTCAATTAAAGCATACATGTACATTTATAATCAATGAAAAAAACAAATCCAGACTAATTTTTTAAAATGAATCAATGTTTGGATGAAGTTGATTATCATTTATTCAAGTTTCACTGGTACATGAAAGTATATAGCATTAATGTGGTGGGAATCAATCGGTCAATCAAATTTAAACGAGACATGATGCAGATGGAAGGACAGAAACACAAGTCCCTTATTTTCAAGACTATGGTACCTCTGAATGGACTAATAACAAATTATATTCATTTGGTAAAAACTTACGCTTACCTTTGAACTTTTGTAAATGAGAAGTATGCCTGGCTTGAGCACACACCATAATTTGGTCCATCCCTTTAATGTTCCCCTCACCTAAGACACAATAAAAGTTTGACAATGAATCAATTAGCAATGAACAAATGTTAATTAATATGCTCTCTTGACATTACCACATCACCATTTATCCCTATTCATTTTGGCTATCGATTGAGGCTTTTTGTCTTCTGCTTAAGATTGTTTATTAAAGGAAGTATCTAGCCATTTTTTGATGATTTTGACTTTGACCCAATCCATCTCTGCCAAGGGTCGGCATGTGTAAATTTCTGAAATTCTGGTACAGAAAGTTTTTTTTTTATTATGTTTATGCGCCAGGCAACAGTTCCGGACATTGAATATCACTGTTGTCTCTCTCAACATTTTTTTCTTCAAGTGCAAATGGCAAGTGATAGTGCCGACATATTCATGTTTGAAGTTACATGACAGGGCTGCGCAGCCATCTCCCTATCAAATGGCAATTCAATGCCACAAGCACCTGCGGACCTTAACCAAGTTCCCCCAAAGTTGCATTTGTTAGTGAATGAATCTTGACCAGTTGAATTGGCCTTCCCATTGCATCTGTGGCACACTCAGCATAAGATAAGATTCGAACTTGGGTCTACCGATCATGAGTCTGAAACAACAACCACTACGCTACCAGTCCAGAAAGATGGGCTGGTAAATAAAATAAGTTTTGTTTATTATTTTATACAACACCAACACTTTCCAAAGCAGTTTATGTTCTCAAACATCTCTGGTCAGTGTCAAGACCAAGTCGATGAAATTTGCAATGCATTTTCTGTAATTTGCCCACAGTATCAGACTTTTCAAACCTCACACACATGGCTGGGAATGGAGATGTAAGTCAAAGGAATAACTGCTACAGAATCATGGGAAATGAAGTGTGGTGAACAAAATAGCTACTCTTGCTATTTCAGTTAACAATCCATCATTATATTGAGATCGTTGAAGGTTACACTAAATTGATGTGCTCTTGATTCAGATTCACTATTAATAATTTGGTGATTTACTAGAAACAACTGTAATTCTGCAAAGACTTATTTTCACAGATCAACAGAAGAGACATTTGTGACATATAGTCAGTTGAGTCAACACATAAATCTAATGATTTAGAGTATCCCATAGAAAGAAACACATGATATATTTTTTTTTGGGCAAATGTTAAAAAGCAACCATCGCAAGTACCGATTGTTGATATTACCATCAGATTGACTGTTAAACATTTTAAATGGTGTTGATAGTGTCTCAATGATAAAATGTATTACCTTTAGCCAACCAGATAGAACAACAACGGAGGGGTCTTTTAAAGTACTCAACAATTCTTTAGTTGCCCTCTTCTTTTCTCTTCTATAATTTTTCTTTTGTGCCTGAAAATACGCACATGAACACAGATGTATATTGAAAAATACTGTATATTGAAAATATGTTATTTTGATCATTTGTGATTTAGTGTATGCATAACTAATACAGCAGATATGGTAATTTCTCCCTTTTTATTTACGTAATGTTATTTTGTGAAAGCAGAAACCTGAAGCTGACATTACCTTTAATGACTCTCTTTTTGCAAGTTTAGATGATTTATAATCTAAGCTGTGTAGCTTCCCTTCAGACTGTAAAACAAATTTGAAGTAATCTTGTTAGAGTGCATTACATCACAACTATATTGCCAGCAGTGGTCAGTAATCTGACAAGCTAATCCATATGGTACATGTATAAACACACAACCAGCTACATTTGTATGAAGGGAAAAATACACAAGACACATACATTTGCTTTGTAGTGGCGGTTAACGCACATATTCATACAGTATACAACATGAAGTGTGTAAATTATATTTTTGTTTACACTTAATTGCAATATATGATGTATGATGACACCAACTTTTAATGTGCTATAATGTGCTATGATGTCCATTAAATCATCTAAAGATAATTCTTTGAATTTAGTTTTACGAAAATAAAGATTTCCAAAAATTACATCTGAGGAGTTGATTCAATGCTTCTACTGTTAAGCAAATTTTTCTGAAAAATATTACTACTGTAAAATCTGTAATAAAAGCCGTGGTCTAATACAATGGTACAATGTAACCAGAGGAAATGCGGCTTCTATTAGAGCATCTACACATATGAGAAATCGTGAATTTTTAGGTCTCAATTGTTCAAAAAGAATGGGTGCGTCTTCTAATACAGATTTTACAGTACTAATCAGCCATCTTTAATCAGAATGAATAAATACTTTCATCCTAGATACCAATGCAAAAACTACTTTGCTTTTACTAATTCTTCAAAAAATAGTTCTTTGATGTTTTATTTTTTTTCCATTTTCAGTATCCTTGTGGCTTGAGCTAATAAAAAGTATAATCAATCTGATCTAAACACTTATATACTTTAGTGTATGCAATACTAATACAGCAGATATGGTAATTTGATTTGATGACGTTTGTGCACATTAATTGGACACTTGCCTTACTCCTCTGTGCTTTGAAAGAGGATTCTCTGTTTGGATCTAGTCTATTGAAATACTCGTCATCTTCCGTACCTTGACCTGTAAGATGTAAGAAACAAAACCCATTAAAAACCTACACACCCCAGGTATCAAGGCATCTTCCACAAGATATTTCCAATATCTCATCTCTCCTGTCAACAAATTGATTGGTCCTTGCATGCAGTTTGAAATGTTAATACCGAGAGCTGAGAACATCAAATATGTATTTGCTCTGTTAGCACACATACCCCGGTAAATCAAAAAATTGCATTTATTGTGTGTTGGATTTTGTATGACACGATTTATTTTGACCATAGTATGATATGATAAATTGTGAACTTTTTAAAGAACAGTTTAATATTAATATACTGTAGAGTACTTTATTTTCGCTTGGAATTTATTTTCGCTATATTTCACATTAAACTCATCAAAGATCAGTGAAAATAAATTCCATACAAAACGCCCAAAAAGCCTTTTCAGCAAAAATTAATTCCAGCGAAAATAAAGTATTCTACAGTAATGTATATATGAATCTGTTATTTTCAGAGATCTGATTCAAAACTCACGCAGTGATTTTAATATGTTCATAACTAGGAAAGTAAACACTTGTATATGGGCACTCATTGGGAATTCTCTCACTTGACTGCGTTCATTTCCAATCAAACTAAACTATACAATGTTTTTTTTTACAGAGACAGAACACCATTCAGAGGCACATCAGCAGACATGTGCAGTGTATGTTAATTGGTAGAACTGAACCTCGCCTTGACATTTCACACTAATATACTGAAAAAGGGTTAATTATTCACTGGGTGTTTTAATTTTGCTCATTTCGCTGATTGAAAATGTGCTAAATTAAAACTTGGTGAATATGTGAAAATTAGCACATTCTCTAAATGATAAAACCATGAATTTAAAAGCCACTGAATATGCCTGAAATGACAAATCAGCGAAATTTAAACGCAGTGAAAATTAGTCATTTTACAGTACTTAGAAGTAAATTTTAGACACAAATACACCTAAATTTTCAACAAATATGCAACGTAATTAAACCCGGAAAACATTTAATATGATTAATATAAAAAATAATTTATGCCCTTTCTTTATCATACAAATTGTCGAGTTTCAGAAACTACTGTGCACATGCATTAATTATTAACTGGGTTTTCATTTTGCTACTTTCGTTGATATGTAAAATCCGCTAAATTATATCTACGTGAACATGTAAAATAACAATAAAACTCATTGTTTCCTTGACAAATTCATG